TATTTTGTAGCAATTTTTACATAATGTTTAAAATATTAAAAATTGTATCTGCATATTCTGGAGTAAAATCTCAAGATTCTCTAAAATGCAATATACTTCTCAGGGGTAATATAGGAACACCTGGTAAATATTTCTCAGCAGGCCTGTTTACCGTTGGTATGACAATTTTTGTAGCATTCATTATGCCACTTCTTTCAGATATCAGAGCTGCTGATCCACAAGCTGAACCAAAACTCCGTGCACTTTGAGCTGAAGCCTGGAGTCCAAGTCCTTGTACACGCAGCCCACTTCACAGCAGGTCAGTGTCCAGCCCCTGCTTCCGTCTGGCAACCGGGATCCCCATCTGTCCTTTCTGCATGCTCAGATGGTGCCACTGATAGGAGACACCAAGCACCAGCCTTTGGCGGTTCCCTTTATTGGCATTTTAGCCTCAATAGTCTCATCCACCAGTGGAATAATCTGACTTTCTCTCCTTAGTCCCAGGAAATAACCATCCATGATCCCTAAAACAGGCTTCTCGAATGATATCATTCTTCTTCTCTACAAGTCTTGAAGATAAAGTTAACCTTAAAATAACATTTTCTGATCTTTCTAAAAACCTTCTTTTTCAAAGGATTTCTGCCAAAGAATTTCCTTTAAGTTCTGGAAAGTTGTGTAGTGGAAACAGTTGGAACTGAAGAGCTGTCCAGGTCTGTAGCCAGAATTGAGCCCAAGTTCCCAATAGCCATGAGGGGTTAACCCCTAGAGTGAGCTCTAGATGGCAGAGTCATGTGAACTTGGACCTAGAAAATGCCCCCAACTGTTTATTGTCCTTTCCATAGCTGGGATTTAGGGAGCAGGACTCAGATCCCTGGGAAGAGCCTGTTCTGGGAGCTTAGGTAAACAACCTGAGGTTTGCAGGGGCAGTCCCTGTAACCCGGATATGTGTGATCAAGGTTCCCAAAGAGCAAGAGCCACAAATGCACTTTGAAGCAAAAACCCAATCTTAGATGAAGCCACTTTGGAAAGAGTGAGAACATTTTTTGATTTCCAATGGCTTAAGGGGTTCTTCTCTGTAAGAATTAGAAGAAACATGACATAGAACTTCTACCTCACCTCCCTTTCACATACTCTTATTACCCCCTGCAGACAAGAAAATAAAGAGAAAAAAAATAAAGATTAAAAAAAGAAAATGTACAAAGGACCACTGTTTGCAACATTTCATGTCTCATAAGCAGAACTGCTGATACCTTCCTGGGGACCGTTCAGGCAGGCGGCCGCAATACATTAATTGCTCGGCAGATGTTCAACATCTTCCTTTTGAAAATGTTAGAACCACAGTGTGTTGCTGTTGAGAAAGGCAATGCATAATTTGGTTTGTCTCTAAGGAAAAGACAATGTCTCCTTTCAGGAATTTACTGGCCTCATTTTGTTTTTCAAATTCACTCCCCTGTTTGCTTTTATGGGAACACAAGGTAAGCATTTCCAGATAGCTGGATGCTGTTAGAGACTGGATGGTGTTGGCGTCTCTGCATGTGTTCTATTTGGAAATTCATTACCTTCAGTATCTACGCTGAGTAAACCTGAAATACACTCCCTGTTTTGTTCTTAGCCATTCTGTGCTTCACATTTCTTTGCAATTCCTCTTGAAGACCTAACCATGCTCAACAGCTATCTGTTGAAATGTTTTTTCCTGAAAAAAAGAGACTTGAAATTATATGAATATGGGGGGAGAGAAGTGGAGAGAAGACTGAGAGAAGGTCAAGACAAAGTGGCCCCCTTTGGCTTTCGGGATGCAAGAGCTTGGCATCCAAAAACAAAGTAGACATTGATCAAGGGTTAGCCTGGAAGCTATCTTTATTCCTAGTATTTCTTATTGACATGGTTCCTCCTCTCCTTTTCCACCATCCCATATCTCTTAAGTATCTGCTTTAAGGGTCAGCTCAGTTTACCTTTGCTGGATTCTTTCTGGAGAACTTCATCTGGATACCTTCTATCCCTTTTCTGAATGCAGATGGATATTTTAGTCTCTATCTCTACCATCATTATCACCTTTATCATTGTCATCATCACCCTTGGGTACAGTTTATCATTATGTCTCCATCATTGCACCTACCAGAGAAACTACATGTTATCAGGCACTAGTGTATATAGTTAGATGCACAGTCAGCTTATAACCTTTAGAGACATATTCGAACAAATCCCAAGCACCGGGTTTGCCTCCTAACTCATTATATCACATTGTGAACCTGTATCTATCACCTTCTCCTTACCATTTTTACTGGTGAGTGTAGCCTTGCATCATGTCCAGTAAACTTTCAAGGAAAACCCTTATCTGTGCTTTCCTCATGGCAGGTAACCCATGCCAGGTAACCCTTTCAAGGGCATCGTCACCTGTGCACAATTGAGAAAATCAGGCAGGTTAAAGAATGATTAGACCTATGCTCTGTGGAATTTTGTGTCCTAAAACAAGAGTTCCTAGAGATAATGGGGGAAGGATTGGTAAGAGGGGTGTTACTAAACAGGACCAAAGCATGGACTGCTTGTGAACCCATATTTTACTGCCCTGCCACCAGAAAGAGTGTTTCCCACATCAGAGTCAGCCCCATTCATGCCACAGATCAGTTCACTCAACTTGGGGTGCACTGGCCTTACCTCCCCCAACACATCAGGCCTTTCTGCACCCTGTGTGACATCCCCCTTCTGCAGTCTCAGCCAAGCTCTATCCTAGTTTTCCGGAATTTATGCACTTATGTGTGTATTATGCTATTGATTACTCATATTTATTCTTCAGGATGTCAGAAGCTATAATGTCACTTTAGTTTTTCCAGCAGGACTCACAGGGAGGCTCTACCATGCAGAATAACTTGATCTCTGTAGGTGCTGATAGAACAACAAACCTGAGTCACTGAGAAAATGTTGAAAATGCTACAGATTTTCTCTCAGCCCTTAGTAACTTGGAATTTACTCAAGGGAAAGGTCCATTTAAGATTGATTACCTTACTCCTCAGGTGGTTCTAGGCCTCATTTTGCAAGTATTTCTTTAAAACTATAGTTCAGCCAGGGATATGAAGGTAACCAGGATACTCACTCTCCACTTCGTGTCTAGTGACTAGACATGAAGCCCAGCCACTAGTTACAGGAAGCATCACTAATTCCAAATGAAAGACCCAAAGAATTCATGCAGATGACTCAGTAAAGATGCGCCTTCATGTTGAATAGGAATCACCAGCAGGAGTGACAAACAGCATGCTGAGGTGAGGCAACATTCAGCAGAGGGACAGCAAGGTGACTTTTATGGCCCAGGGGTAACATCAGTCACAGGTTGGCATGGTGAGGGCGTCAAGATAGCCACTCTTCAAATTTCTAATTAGAATGTTTTCTAAAGCTAAAATTACAAACAGAGGAAAGCTAGGATAAAACCTGGGGAAAAGAAGTCTATTAGTGTTGTTCACTGTTCACTCATGTCAGTGAGAAAATGTGCCTTAATGCAGTGTTGAGGTCACAAAGTGCAGTACACTTGGAAAAGGGAAGAACAGCAGATAAAAGGATATTTAATGGGCTTGGGGCCAGGTCAGTAACATTTTTAGCCAAGTATTTTCACATTTTTATAAGAATTTTTCACCCCAGTGACAAGAGATAGAATTTTCTAGAGATGGAAACTGAGGAATGTGTTGCCTCAGAAGATAAAGTTGTGTATTCCATTTTGAGTTTGTTATCATAAAACATGTAAGCGAAAAATCCCATTGGGAGCTTAAGCCAGGAGTTAAATCTCAGATGAGAAGACCAGGGCCAAACTACACATTAACCTCACAGCTTCCATTTCCACTTTTGTATGATGCCAGGTGGGTGAAATCTGCTGACAGGTAGATTGCTGGAACAAATCTTTAAAGTTTTATCAAACCCCCTATCTTTGGTCCTTTGAGTATGGTCATGAGTACATTTGCCATTATATTTGGGGGTAAGATGGAAATATGGGTTGGGGAGAAGCTGCCTAAAAGCTTGCTGATTCTTCTAAAGTTAGAGCCTGTGAAACAAAGATAACACTGGCATTTTATTTGAAAACACGGAGCCTAACTAGATGGATTCACACTGCATGGCAAACACTGGCTCTTCAAGGGCTATTTGCATCTCATTAGAGTTATTATTTAGGCAAATAAACTGAACCTTGCAGGTTAGGATTTCAACAGAGAGAGGCTAGGACAGAGGACTGAGTGGTTCCCTTAAACTTTTGGGATCCATGAAACCCTGTTCTGTGACTGAAAAACTCTTGTAGGAAAACTCCTGTAAATCCCTGTGTAGGAGTTCCTTACTATCAAACAGCTGTTCTTGAGCATGACCCTAGATCACTGTTATCTAGAAAGCTTTGGAAAAGCAGAAGTCTTTCAGCCTACAATCTGAATACAATCTGAAGCATAATGCTAAGGAGCGATACCCAGAAAATTGCACTTTTCACCATTTTCCCAAGTGATGTCTGTGGAGCCAGGCCTGTGGGTGGTCCCTATAACCATCCTACAGAGCAGCTCTCTGCAGAAACCCCTCCACATAGGCAAGAAAGGTGCACTTCTGTCTCGGGCAGTAAATCTGATTTAAAACTCCGGGTGTCCACGAGAACAGGCATGCATTTATAAAGCAAGTCCTGAGATAGTAAGTGTAGGAGGGAATTAAGAGTAAACATTAACATCTATTTTCTGGGAACATTTGGAACCATCCTAATTGCCAGAATGGGTAGATGTCACTTGAAAAATGATTATCATGTAAACTAGAATCTCTGTGACAGTTATAATCGAATAGTCATGTGTTTTATGAAACTTAAACAAATGACATTATCTAGATGCTATTAATGTGCTAGTATGAACAAAAAATGATACATCTGCATCTTGCAATGTTTCAGCAAGTAGGGGAATTCACAGGGTTATCCTGCAGCTGGTTTTCCAGTGGGGTCACTGCTCTCCCAGAGTTTTGGAAACATGGTAAGAAACTATAAAAGGTTAATGTTTTTCAAAGGAAGGAGCTCAAACCCCAGGTTCAATTTTGAAAAAATAATTATAAGTGCAGAATAACACAATACACAGCCCCACCTGCGTACCTGACAGCTGTCTGGTTTACACTATTATGTGTCAGATAACTGTCCCTTGTCAAGGGTCTGTGTGGGTTTTTAATAAAATGTTATCTTGGCCTCATGGTGGCTGCTGACTAGTTCAATTACTTTTTCAGGTGTAATAAAAAGATATCATCACAGGGATATTAGAAAATTAATATTCCCAGACTTCAGTTGCTACCCCTGGATATGATATGAGTGGATATGGGAGGGGATAA